AAAAAAAAAAAAAAAAAAAAGAAAAACAAAGAAAAGTCAAGATGATTGCATGCTGTTGCTGCTTTCAGCCCTGCCATACCCTCTGAGCAATGAACACAAGGCCTGCTACCTGCTTGAGTCCGGAAGGGAAAGGTTGAAAAAAAAAGGAGAAAGGAAAAAAACTAAACAGAAACATGTTAACATCTCAAAATATTCTGCCACATTTGAAATACGGGAGACTTGAATTCATTAGAGAACTTCTACTGGAAAAAAGGAATTGTTCTTGAAAACAAGGTCTGTGCAGTTGCATCCACTGTGTTGGACGTAGGTCCACTGAACGCTGTGATGTCATCATTGAGGTCAGAGAATCTGCTGAGGGACTGGTGACCTTTGACCCTTAACAGCCCCGCTGTGTAGCGAGCACGGGGCAGTGCTGCTCGTTCCCTAAGCGGTCTGAGTTCTTCAGCTGTTTAGGAGACAAAACTACTTTTATTCGTACTGAATCTTTTAAACGAATATCCTGAGAGTCAAGAAAGGCCAATCTACAGGAAAAAGGGGGAGCTGGACATTAAGCATCTTCTAGAAACTCTTCTAGCTGATTCCATGAAACGGCGACAGAAGAGGAAACATTTGGAAAATGAAGAGTCCCAGAAAACCGCTGAGAAGGGAGGAGGTACGTGCTGGGCCAACCGTCTGGGGCACAAGCGTCATTGGCCAGCCTGAGCCGCCTTTAGGGAGGAGGCACTGAGGAGAATATACCACCTATGCAGCAGGGAGGGGGAGACCTGGCTCCGGGCTGACACCGGCACATCCATCTTGAGGGTACCGGCTGTGAGGTGGCACCGGAAGTCCAGATGCCGCTTGCACACGGAAGGCCAGCTTTGCTCGTCTGAGAACTTCTGTACCTGGAACTACGTCAGTCTCCAGGCAGGCGCGGCCGGGGTGGGGGACCCACTTACAAAGACCCAGTGATGCAGCCTGAGTCTCTCTCTCTTTGTCTATTTGTTCTTTCCCTGGGGTGACTGATTTGGGGGCGGAAAGGTTCTCGTAGAAATCTATGAGTTGCACTGCCCCTTTTAGCAGAAATGAAAGAATAGCCCAATGAGTTAAAGCCTTGTTGAAAAATATCTTGAGAAATGAAATGCTTGTTGTAAGTAGATTAAACACTTGTTTAGGGATGGCGTCATACTGAAACCAGGGAGGTTTGATTCCTTCAGCAGGAAGAATTAACCCATTAATCCAATAGAGTTTGTGAATCCAGAGTGTGGGACTTCCCAGAGGAAATGAAGCACAGGGGAGGGGCCTTAGAGCGCTGTCAGTTTATTTCTCAGGAGGCATGATAATGGCATGTATTAAATGTAAACAAGCCCTTTGTTCTGAAAGGGAGATGGTCACATGAAGGAGCAGAGCAGAAAGGAGCCTGCCCCAGATGGCCCTGGAGGCTTCTGCTGCAATTAAGAGCTCAGCAGGCCTATGAGGCCCAAGGTCATAAGGACTGTAGGTTGAGCCCGGAGCGGAGGCATAGAGAGTAGGCCTGGAGAGGAGGGGCTTGGGACAGTAAGGGGAAGGCAATGGTTTTCCTCTCCTACAGCTACCCTTACATTTCAGAATCTTTTTTCTCTCTCTCTCTCTGTGTGTGTGTGTGTGTTTGTGTGTGTGTGTGTGTGTGTGTGTGTGTGTGTGTAGTGGAAGGATTGGGGATAATGGGTGTGCTGTGGTGGGTTCTGCAGGGTGAGCTTCCTGTCACCATGCCTGGGCCTGGGCAGCACTCAATACACATAACAGTGTATACTGAATTTTTGTTCAGGGTATTCCAGGAGACAGTCACTCATATACCCATATATCCTCTGATACCGGAAAAAAGTCACACACCTCCACACACAGTGCATATAGTTATATATACACCATTCCTCTATTACATACTCACACAGCCCATGTGTGTGACAGTCCTTTCTTCCTACAGAGATTTCTTGTGTGGTGTGGTGTGTGTGTTTGTGTGTGTGTGTCTCCTCAATTCTCACATAAAAACAGCTACCTTAAACTATCTCTAAATACCTCTTTAAGAGCCCCACACATCGTATATACCATATCTGTAACATACTGCATAGCAGTGCTAGGCCCACTTTGCCACAGACCACAACAAAACAAAGATTCACCACCATCCCCTTATTAGGGTTGCCAGATGAAATACAGGATGTCCAGTTAAACTCGAATTTCAGATAAACCGCCAATGATTTTTTCGGTATGAGTGTGTCCCAAATATGGTACAGAATATACTGACACTAGGAAATAAGGATGACAAATATTGAAGGGACATACTTACACTAAAAAATTATTTGTAATTTATCAGAAATTCAAATTTAACTTGGCATTAGCTGTTTTTGCTAAATCTGGGAACCCTTATATACTCATAATGAGCTGACCTGTTACATACTTAACAGATTTCTGCTTAGTGCCTGTCTTCCCTGTCTAGAATGGAAGGTCCACTTAGAAGAAGGACTGTTTTGTTAAGTATTCCTAGAGTCTAGAAGAGTGGACTGGTGTCTGATACATGGTAGCTGTTCATCAAATATTGCCAGATGAATGAATTAATATACATTATAAATATAAGCCACATCATATAATCAGGAAGAGTTACATATTGCAGAATTCCAGGGTTGTAAACGCAAACTACGCACACAAACTCCATAGACACAGACACGTTTGTACAGTATACCCACACGAACCTACACATATCAAAGGCTATCTGATATGCGTCACTGTTACACTTTAGACGTATTCATAGTTACCACACAGGCATACATTCCTAAAAATACATTACAAAATACCTGTTGATGGTAATTAAATACTGGAGTATCTACCAGAAGCCAGTTTCATAAACCATGTGTGTTCACCACACCTGACATATGTCAGCCACTCAGTAAATATTTGTTGGATGGATAAATGATGTACAAACATTCCTCATCCACCATGTCTCTGTGTACTTCATACCTTTCTCAGGAATGTCAAAGTCCAAAAAGGCTGTCCTGCAGTCTGGATCCAGTGGAGTGGCCAAAGGCTGGAGCCAAGGGGTAGGAGAAGTCTCCTCTACCTCTGAATACTTCTCCTGCATTTCTTCTTCACGCAAGCTCATCCATGGTGGTAAGGGTGCAGGGTTCCTTAGGCATGAGGCTCCTTGGCTGCGGGGTTCATTGGGCATGAAAATCTTTGAGTGTGGTGCTCCTTGGGACTGGGGCTCTTTGGGTACAGGGCTCTTTGGGCATGATATTCTTTGGTTGCAGTGCTGCTTGGGTATAAGACTCTTTAGGAGTGGGGCTCTGTGGGTTTGGGGCTCCTTAGTTGTGAGACTCTTTGGGTGTGGGTCTCCTTGGATGTGAGACTCTCAGGGTGTGGGGTTCCTTGAGCATGGGACTCTGGATGCAGGGTGCTATGGGTGTGGGACTTTTTGAATACTGGGCTCATTGGGTGCAGGGCTCCTTAGGCATGGGACTTTTTGGGTGCAGGGTTCTTTGGGTAGAAAGCAGGAGGTTCATAGATCCAAGCATGAGACTGAGAAGAAACTCAGGGCAGTGAGATGTGATCAGAGCTCTGCAGAAGTGTCTGGGCAAGGTGACACAGCTGTTAGAAAAGCATGGATATGAACTCAGTGTAGGAGAGCATGAGCCCTGGTATGCAGTCAGAGAGCAGAAAAAGTCAGAAATGTTTGTGCTTGTTGTGTAGGGCCATAGGACCAGATTAAGCACCTTCAGCAAAACTATCTGGGTCCTGCCTTTGCCTTCCAGAGAAGAGAGTTCCTCAGCGCAGGCCTCCAGCACTGCAGTGGGACTCTCTAGCCCACACACCTCACACATACAGCCACTCTCTCCGCAGGTACACTCTCTGCACACACACAACCCAAATGCATGATGTGCAGTGCCATTCTCCCACACCACCTCCCACCTTTCACAAATAACACATCAATGACGGCACCAACTCACATCCTCATAGCACACACATGCTGCCAACATTCCACAGAGGCTGCAGTCCTTACCACCATACTCCACACCCCTGGATACAGACACCCCATCAACATCCCTATACACAATTGACACTAGAATCACTGCCTCACAATATGAATGACAAATACCAAGCTCACCACACAGCTGCATCACGCCATAATCCCTCTCTCCTGTACCACACGTATTCAACTTATGTTCCCCCAGCTTCTGGCATGCTCCGCGCATCTGCTCATGTTTCTAATTTCCTTTTCCAGGAATCCACAGAATACATCAAGACAGCCCCCAGCCTCAATCACCCCTAGCCCAAGTTCAGGAACGAGGAGTGACTCCTCCCTGCTCACAACATGTCTCTTTGTCGCCCCATTCATCCTATAAGACCTGTGTGTCCTCTCTGTGTGTAAACAAAGAGGAAAGGGGCATGAAAATATACTATATGCAGGTACAAATGAAAAAAGGTGTAGCTGTCTCCTGGGAGACAGAGGAAACTTCAGAGTCCTTAGAAAAGCAGCCAAGGATGGAAGAAGTCACCCTTCCTGAGGTTGTGCGGGTAGGTACTCCCCCCTCGGATGTGTCCACCAGAAACCTCCTTTCTGACAGTGAGCCCAGTGGGGAGGAGAAAGAGCATGAGGAGAGGACAGAGTCAGACAGCCTGCCAGGCTCACCGGCTGTTGAGGAGAGACCCAGGGCCAAGACACCTGACTGGCTGGTGACCATGGAGAACGGCTTCAGGTGCATGGCCTGCTGCCGGGTGTTCACCACCATGGAAGCCCTCCAGGAGCATGTGCAGTATGGGATCAGGGAGGGCTTCAGCTGCCACGTCTTTCATCTCACCATGGCTCAGCTGACAGGCAACATGGAATCAGAGAGCACCCAAGAGGAGGAGGAGGAGGAGGAAGAGGATGACCCTGAGGAGGAGGAGGAGGAGGAGGAGGAGGAGGAGGAGGAGGAAGAGAAGCCAGAAGAAAAGAAGGAGGAGGAGCAGCCCACAGGGGAAGACCATTGCCTGAGGAGATCCTGGAGCCAATGTCCAGGCTGTGTGTTTCATTCTCCAAAGGACATTCCAAAGGACAGGAAGTGAGCAAGAGCTGGGTTGGGCTGGGTCTGCTGAGGGAGCAATGGCTTCCCTGAGCCAGTACTCTCTCCCCAGTTCAGGCTTAGGTCTCTGCAAGGGAGATTTGGAAGCTTTACTGGCTCAAGGAACAATGGAGAGGGGCATAACTGGGCTCCTGTTTCTTGCCTAGGCATATAATAAAGTCTTGATTGTAAGTCAGGATTTGTCCTGAGCTTTCCAGCCCCTGCAGGAAGTTCTGAGAATTTCAAAGATCGCATTAACTAAGAAGTATCTTTCTTTGGGTTGATTTTCACACAGCAACTGAGACTTATGGGCCAGAAGATACTGGAAGATGGTGTGGCCTTCTCTTGCAAGAGGTAAGGCCTGAGACTTGCAGTGTTCTGAGGCAGTGTTGTGAGGCCCAGAGGAATCCAAGGGAAGGAGCTGCAGAGTTGCACAGGGTTACCTGGTGGCTCTGCAGCTGTATCAACTTGTGGTGTACCTAGTGCTTCTGGAGGAATTGTCCTCCATTTTCTTAGATGATGAGGTAAAGAGCATTGACTGGAACTTTCTCAGTGTCTCCATGATTGTCCTCAATTCTAAGAGGAAATCCTGGAGCTATTCTAGACAAATAAAGCTCAGTGTACCCTCAAGGGCCAGGATTGGCCTGAAAGGCCAGGGTGCCAGCAAGATCAGAGGTATGGAGTATGAGGGCCTTTGGCCTGAGCTGGGAACTCACCTCAGCCCATGGATATAGCCCTTGGGGAAAAGGGGAATTTGGAGAGGTAACAACATGATCCTGATACAATCCCAAGAGACCTGGAAATGTTTCAGACCCTTCATTTTGCTGCAGTTGATCTGGAAATGAACTCACTGTGGTATGCATGGCTCTGAGCTTTAAACAAACGTGAAGAGTAACTGACTAGCAATGCTCATATTGTTTCTTGCCTCTTCCTGTTCTGCCTCAATTGTTTTCTTCACTTCCAGGGAGAAGAAAGAGCCATGGAGATAGTAGCAGACAGACTGCCCAAGGTATGAAGGAGTTGAGGGACCAGCACTCAGTCTAACATGTAAACATCATATGTAATAAAGGCTGTGTTTCAAACCTTCCCTGGATATATTATTTAATTAACAAATTAATCTACCTATCCATCATTTTCTTTTTTCATTTTTTCTTTCTCTTTTTTTTTAGATGGAGTTTCGCTTTTGTTTCCCAGGTTGGAGTGCAATGGTGTGATCTTGGCTCACTGCAACCCCCGCCTCTTGGGTTCAAGTGATTCTCCTGCCTCAGCCTCCTAAGTAGCTAGGATTACAGGCATGCACCACCACACCCAGCTAATTTTGTATTTTTTTAGTAGAGACGAGTTTTCACCATGTTGGTCAGGCTGGTCTTGAACTCCTGAGTTCAAGCGATCCATCCGCCTCGGCCTCCCAAAGTGGTGGGATTACAGGCATGAGCCATCGTGCCCAGCCCTATTCATTATTTTCATCTGTCACTCTAGTGGTTTGTGAATGAAGTTTTATACCAGCACTGAAGATCTCTACCAGCCTTTTCCAGAGGCAGCAATACCCAAGCTCCTGGGATTGATTAGGCTTCTGTGTGACAATTTTTCCAAGGCTGAATACCACATTTCACATGAGACCATGACAAACTCTGCTACATACCTATGTTTCCATCATCCAGCTTTATTAAGCTTAGCATTTTTCCATGTTTGCTTCAGTTGGCTTTGAAGTAAAAATGATTACAAATACAGTCATAGTCCCCTGTTCCATTGCTTTACATATGGATTTTGAGTATTTTTTTTAGTACTTCTGGGCATGTCTTATACTATTACATAAATATATAAAATGTTTTGAATATCTTAAAAGTTTCACATAGCATTGTACTTCACTAGTCCTTTGCAACTTGTCTTTATTAAAAAACAGGTTTTTAAGATTATCCATTGCCATAAACATATCTATAGTTAACTAATTTTTACTAGTGTATTATAGTTCATTCTGTCAATATGCCGGGCGTGGTGGCTCATGTCTGTAATCCTAGCACTTTGGGAGGCTAAGGCGGGTGGATCCCCTGAGGTCAGGAGTTTGAGACATGGCCAAAATGGTGTAGAGAAAACCTGTCTCTACTAAAATTACAAAAATTAGCCGGACATGATGGTGCATGCCTGTAATCCCAGCTACTAGTGGGGCTGAGGCAGGAGGATCGCTTGAATCCGGGAGGCAGATTGCACTGAGCTGCACTGAGCTGAGATTGTGCCACTGCACTCCAGCCTGGGCAAGAGAGCAAGACACTGTCTAAAAAAAAATTGCCAATTTTTTATTTATTCTCTTTTTGATGAAATTTTAGTTGCATCCAAATTTCCTCTATTACCATACAGTGTGAGTCTCTCTTGAGGATGCATATACCCAAACATTCTTGCTATGCTAAAGTATATAGATATTTCAGTTTAGTAGTTATTGCCATGGTATATTGCTTCCTTTAATCAAGCATTTTTTCTTCTATTTTTGTTCTTCAATAATGATTAATGGTTAATGCTTTTCTCCGCAAATGTTATATACAATTTTTATTCAATGTAGTCCAAGATTTCTTTTCGTTCTCCTCATGAATGGTATATTTTTTTCTATTATATTTTAGAATTGGTTATTATTGATGCATATTTTAAATTTTCATTTCACATGTAGCAACCTTTTTGAAATTTTTCAGATATAAGTATTTCTATGTAGTATTCTGTATTTTTCTATATTCAATCATATTAAATACAACTAAAAAGAATTAATTTTTTTCCTTTTTATTTCTAGATAGTACTTGCATTTTTCTTCTGTTAACAGGCTAGGACCTCTGGTACAATATAAAATAATAGTGATCATACAAATAACTTAAGTTTTTAAAAAATGGTAAGAATGAGTATTGAATTTTATGTGGGTTTGATGCATCTATTCAGATGATTTCATTCCTTTAGTTGTTAATTTTGTGTGATGCATCATAGGTTTTTGGGTGATGAACCATCCTGACCTCCCTGAAATAAACCTCATTTTACCATTACTTTCTTTCACTAAATTGTTGAGTTCACTTTGCTATTAAGAAATTTAGGATTTCTATGACTATTCACAAATAAAATCAGGGCATAATTTTTTCTTACATTATCATTGTCCAGTTTTTCTTTTTCTTTTTTTTTAAAAAAAACAAAATTAACTATCTCCTATGCCATGATTTTTTTTTCTCTCTCTCATCCCTAAAAGAGCTTCTATGGAATGGGGATTCATTTAATCCTTCTTTTTTAAAAAAAAATTTAATTAAAATTCCAGGATACGTGTGTAGGATGTGCAGGTTTGTTACATAGGTAAACGTGTGCTATGGTGGTTTACTGCACCTATCAACCCATCACCTAGGTATTAAGCCCCGCATGCATTAGCTATTTATCCTGATGCTCTCCCTCCCTCCACCCCACCGACAGGCCCCAGGGTGTGTTGTTCCCCTCCCTGTGTTCATGTGTTCTCATTGCTCAACTCCCACTTAAAATTGAGAACATGCAGTGTCAGGTTTTCTGTTTCTGTGTAAGTTTGCTGAGGATGGCTCCCAGCTCCATGCATGTCCCTGCAAAGGACGTGGTCTTGTTCCTTTTTATGGCTGCACAGTATTCTATGGTATGTACATGTACTGCATTTTATTTACCCAGTCAGTGCGGGATTCACATGCTGTTTTGATTCTTCTCGATGGGCGCCACCCACTGCAGCTGTTTGTAGTTGGCCATCTCGGCCCCTCTCCTCCCATTTAATCCTTGAAATTTTGGTAAAGTTTTTCTTTAAAAGCCTTATGAACTGGGATTTTTCTTTTCTTGGGTAGAGGAGTGAGAATAATTTTGCTTATTGTTTCAATTTATTGTTTAAAATTTTCAGATTTTCTTGAAACAATTTTATATTTTTACAAATTACATTTAATAATACAAAGTAGTCCATAGTTTTGTCGTGGTAGTCTGTGATTTAAAAATCCTCTATTTTAATTATGTTTGCATTTGTTTTATAATTTGTTTATTTGTGCATTTACTCACATAGTTCACCTGATTAGTGTTGCCAGAGATTTGCTACTTTAATAATTGAAAATAAAATCTTTTAGTAGTTTTGATATTTTGTATTATTTCCTTTTTTAGATTTTCTAAACATACCTTTATTAATTCTTTCCTTTTTATATAGGTTTACTCAATTTTTTCTTTTTCTAGCATCTATTGAACACTTAACTTACTGATTTTTAATCATTTATATTTTTAACTAACTGCATGTGAAGCTATGCAAATTTTCTGAAATGCCATTTTATTAGTATCCCACAAGTTTGCTGTGTTATACTTTCATTGTTGTTTACTTTTAATGTTTTATAATTTCTATTCTGATATTCTCTTTAATCTGTGAATCACATAGGAATATATTTTAAAGTTGCTAAAATTTTATTGTAACCTGGTATATAGTCAATTTAAAAAGTGTTTCATATGTACTTGAAAATAATGTGTATTCTCTATTGGATTCAAGTTCATATGCATATCTGTTAATCAAGTTCCTTTATTTTATTCAAATTTTTTTTGTCCTTACTATTTTTAAGTCTAATCTTCCAGTTTCTGGTATAGACTGAAATATTTTACAATGATTGTGAACTTGTCCATTTCTCCTTATATTTGTACAGAGCTGGCAAATCTATTTTGAAACTATATTACAAGTCATGTGAAAATTAATGTTTTGTACATTTTTTTGGTGGATATTCTTATCGTCAAATATTTTCTCCCACTTTTTCTCTATTAATTACTTCCTCACTTTAAATTCCATTTAGTCCGATTTAATAAGCTTTTTGTCTAAGAACTGTTTTGCCGTACTTACAATATTGAATCTGCTTTTTAGTAAGTGAGTTTAGCTCATTACACTTATTTTGAAGACTGAGAGGTTTGGAAGGATTTCCACCTCTTCATCTGTGTTTTTCACTTATTGTCTCTGGTAGACTGTTGGTTCCCATCAGTTCCCTCCCTAATATCACTCTCTGCTTC